ACTTCATGGTGTAAGGTATCAAAGACAAGTTGTAATTCAGAATGAGACAATCTAGTAGAGTTTTCATATTTAGCATGTCGTACCTTTTTGTTTTTCTTATTTTGATGAGCGGAGAGACAAAGGTTGACAGACTCTTTTTCGACACTTGAACTATCATCCGTGGATGACTTACAATCGCTTTTCCAAGCGATGTAAGCTTTTCTAGGCTTACCTTGTTTCTTTTGCGAGTGATTACTTTCCTTTCCTTTATCCTTCTTCATCAATGGACAATCCGGCTTATAGTGTCCGACTTTTCCACAATTAAAGCACAACCATCTTGCTTTACTCCCCTTATTGCCTTCATTCTTGGAAGACATTGATTGTCTTCTAAAATTAACAATATTCTTTTCGGAATGTTGGATACCATTCTTCTTTATATAGCAATTGTATCGCTTAACGAACAACCTTATATCCTCATTCATTTCTTCATTATCGTCATCACTCGAGTCGTAATCACTTAGCTCTTTTGCAGAGGACTTTGAACAAGAAGCTTTTAGAGCTATAGACTTCTTTTCTGTAGTTTTGGTATTTTCCTTCTTTTCCTTTTTCTCAAATTGCTTGAGACTAAGAAGAACTTACTCATGTTCTTAGAGCTTTCCAAAAAGAGTTGTAAGGTCCAAAGTCATAAGATCATTTGCTTACTTTATGACCATGACCTTTAGTTGCCACTCCCTGGTAAGACATCCTAAAACTTTGTTAGTAGCAACATCATTGGAAATTGGTCTACCAAGTGAATTTAGTCTATTGATTAAATGAGAAAATCTCTTTTGCATGTCGGCAATGGTTTTCCCTTGCTCCATGTGAAAGAGATCAAACTCTTGAGTCAAAGTATTGATTCTAGATAGTTTAACATCATTAGTTCCCTTATGGACAACTTGCAATGAATCTCACATAGCTTTAGCAGTCATACAGTGTGAAACTCTATAATATTCATCAACTCCCAAGGAGGAGATCATAATATTTCTAGCCTACCAATCGTAATTGTACTTTTTCTCATCTTCATCATTCCATTGTGCTTTAGGCTTAGGCACAACAACGTTATTTTCATCGGTCATGATAATTTGCATAGGACCGTTCAATATAACGTTCCATACCTTTCTGTCAATGTAATTTATATGTACGCGCATACAATCTTTCTAGTAACTATAGTTTTCACTGTTGAAAACAGGTAATCTATGGTAAGCCTATTTTGGCTCGTTTGCCGTATTCTAAGAATTTATATGTGAAGCACAAAATGAACCAGGCTCTGATACCACTTGTTAGACGAAGACAATGATCTAGAAGGGGGTTGAATATATCACTTATTAAAAACAAAGTCGGCGCTTATTAAGATTTGGTTTTTAAAAAGTTTTAACCGGAAGTGGCCGAGGAACTATACTCGTCTAAACGAACCATTACCAAAAAGATCAGATATACACAAAGCCTATATGGAGTACCGATAAAGACGAGAATTAGAATCAATAGTTTGAACACAAATCAATCATATTTTGTTCACTTAAAGTTGGACAATTTCCAATGCGTGTGAAATATAAACCAATTGAAAAATAGCTCAAGTGTTTGTGTTCACGCAATTAGTCGAACACTTGGTGTGCAAAGCACCTCAAGTAAATTTCAATAGGTGAATGAAGTGCTATGTTATTCAGTTACAATCAAAAGATTGTAATGAGGTTTCTAAAAAATGTTTCAACACTAACACACACCAAAATTTTAATCAACTAATATGTTTGCACACAAACTCAAAATTCAGCAATGGAAATAGTAAAAAGAGAGAACACCAATTTGTTGAGGCAGTTCCCCTGTCATCCTCGCTCGGGGTACGTCTGCTCTCAATTATAAAAATATAATTGAGACTTGTATATATAACCAGTTGCAAATTGTTTTACAAGAGAAGCAATAGAATTCAAACAATCAAACCCAAATGTTGATGCCGAGTCTATGCCTTATCTTCACTTGATTCAAGATGAATCAAGTCCTTCGAACGTGATGGGTAAACCTCCGATTACGACACCACCTTTGAACAACCCTCTGGTCTTCAAATCTTACCCGACTGATTTCAAACATCAACGATTCGAACCCAAACCTTCCTACCACAATCCTCCGGTTAACGCTACTAAATTGACAAAACATCCCATTCTTCAATTACCTTTGCTTGACTGAATTTGTGAAGGAACGATTTGTGCAAAACCCCCAAAATTCAAGATTCTTGGAGGACAAAATCCTCAAAGTTTTATTCAAGAAAAACCCACTGATTTCTCAACCCAAACCTGATACACCAATCCTAAGTTTGGACGTTATCACCTCGATGATGCAAAATACACAACAAAAATGATTATGTGAAGTTGTTGAGAAAATGCAAGAAAGAGGATGAAGATGATGAGAACCAATTCAGTGTATATTTTCACTTTTCTTGTTATTTTGTGTAGAATGAACTAACTTAATATACATGCAAAATTGAAACCAAATAACCAACATAACAATTACTTTGAATGTTAAGCATAACAAAATTTTTGTGAGAAACGCGCAAGCGGTCGACCTAAAACAAGGGGAGGTTCGACCTGAGCTCTCCCGAATTCAGGATTATGCAGGAAATAACTCTTTGCATCAACTGGAACAGGTTCGTGCGTCGACTCAAAGCACTCCAATTTTGACAAGCACAAATGCACACAGTATGAGTTGACCGGAGGGTCGACGCGAGATCTCCTGAGAGCAAGACATGAAAATTGACTTCTGTATGAGTTGATCTAAGCATGCTATGAGTCGACTCAAAAACTCAAAACTTGCAAAAATGCAGATTTTCATATATTTAGCTACTTCTAAGAGAACCTAATGCATCTCTAACTTGACCAACATGATCAAACTCATATATAACACATATAGTGCTATTTCTATATGTACTTAGACATGTTTTGACAAATATTTGACACAAGAAAGATAACGTATGTAATGCGACTCAATGATACCGTCCAAAGTACATTTTTTCAAACTATATATGTTTTAACATCATTAAAACAAGTATAATAAAACATGAGATACTTTGCCCCCACACAATGAAGGAATGAAAATATGACTAAATATGAATTCAGTACTATGACTAAAAGTAGGTTCATCACTACATGTTATGATACCATATTAAGAATTATGGTTGAGCTTAACTCATATGTACAAAATCGACTTGTTATGTGATGATTGCTCTCACCTATAAAAATATGTTGAGACCATATCCTTTTTAATATGGACTTTTTAACACCCCACGCTCAGAACTGAATATTTGTAACATGAATATAAATAATGAGTGACTCAATAGCAAAAATTGATAGTATGTGGCCCAAAAACTCTTTGAAAAGTTACTTGTGATGGACTTATGATAATTGTTTTAAGATAATGAGAGGATTACCATTGAATTTACTTGTCCATTATGTGTATAACTTACTTAAGAAAAACATGTTATGATGGGCCACCCTACAATACAAGAAGTTTGAAATAAAATAGAGGGCATATTCGTTGCACTAAATTTCCCCAATGAAAATAAAATGATTGGATGCTTGATTACTTGATATTTCATTGAAATAAAGAGATTAAAGTGTTACTTTTACATCACACTAGATATCTTTAGAGAAGATGAAATAAACACATTTGTTCTAATTGTCAATCATTTATTATAGACCGACACCGCATATTTGTTACTTTAATACCCATATGAAATATACGTGTGCAACAAGTAATGCATCTAATTAAGTTTATGCTACTAGAATGAACTTAAATTAATCGTGATACTGTGACTCATGCAATTTACGACGACATCTTGCAATATAAACGTGTGACACTTTTTACAATATTAAATTAGCATGACATCATAATTTTATTAATAAGTAATTGAAATCTAAACTGCAATAATTGTCGTGTAGTGAGTAAAAGATGATTTTTAAAACACCATTCATTTTAACGGGTAACTCAAGTTATAGAGATTACTCACAAGATTTATATTATATAACATTAAATGATGTCACAATTATCGAAAAGCAAATTTATATGATAAATGCACTTGCATTCAAGTTATAATGAAGATTACTCACGAGATTGATATTATAACGTTAAAATAATGCCACAATTTTCAAAAAAGAAGTTTATACAAAAGATGCATTATCAAAACGTGTTGTCACGTCTATCATATTAACTGTTTATGAGATTATCATGATAATGTTAAATAGTATCACACATTTCTGTTAGTAATATTTATTTTAAAAAATATTAAAAAATAAAATTATTTTATGGTCATACACACTTGCAAAAAAAAAAAATGTTTTATCTACTGAAATTAAATAATAAAAAAGTAATAAAAAAAAGTATAAATCAATTTATCTTATTGCTATGATTAGTAATGAAAAACTAAAACTATCTTAATGATGTACTTATTTTATTTTTATAAAAATAAAGCAACTAAATATTTAAAAAAGTTTAAAATCAAAATCACAAATTACTACTAATAAACATAAAGAATAAAGAATAAAATTCAAATCGCAATTTAGACTCTTTCAATTATATTTTTTTTATCCTAGTCATAAAACTCTTAAATTCAAAGTCAAATAATCGAAAATGGAATCCACAAAGTCCTTGTATGTCATTTTTTAACCGTAAATGTAAAAAAAGTCACACAATTTTCTTCTTCTTCTTTCTAAAGTCCACATTCAACCAACCTAAACGCACTTTTTAGTCCAAAAAAAAACAAACACCAAAGCCCTTTTTACGCGCTCTCTCTCTAAAATCCTTTCCCAAACAAATCACTTATCTGTTCTAATTTTTTTTTGGTAATTAATCGTTTCTCTTCGAACACTTCTTTTCTCCATTTCTCAGTTCAAAATTCATACAAAACTATAAAAAAGCTGAAAAATCACGTTTCAACTCAATGTCGCGTTTGCTAGTAGCATGCTGGTAATGTTTGAGCTTAATTGTAGCAACCAAACATGGTCTTCAAAGGGAGATTCTTCTCTTCCAAAAAATCTGATACTTCTAGTCCAGATGCTTCTTCCAATAGTCCTCGATCAATCTCTTCAAACTCTCCTAGATCCGATAAGAAAAAACCTAAATCAACCGTTGCTCAAACCCTAACTTCCACCTTCAGTTCCACCTCTACCGCCGGAACCAGCGGCGGCGGCGGCGGAAGTGGACTTGGTGGCGGACTTATCGGAGGCGCGGCTAGTCGGAAGACGCCAGTTAAGGAAGGAGCTAAGAAGAAAGATGCTGTAAAGGGAAAGGAGAGTGAGATTCTGTCGGAATCTCGCTCTCGTTCTGGTTTGAAGAAATTGACTCCGGCAACGGTGGCGGAGGTGAAGGAGTTACCGTCGACTTTGCCTTCACCGTATTCGTCGACTTCTTCTGCAGCGGCTTCTGTTTCGCCGATTCTGGCGTCGTCGTTAGGGTTGAACAGGATAAAGACTAGATCGGGACCGTTGCCGCAGGAGAGTTTTTTTGGTTTTAGAGGTGATAAGGGAGGAGCTGCGGCGGCACTTGGTGCTAGTAATCTTTCGAGGCCTGGTGTTGGGAAGAAGAAGGAGGTTGGGAATCAGAATAGAGTAGGGTTTCGGGATGGTTTGGGAATTGGTGGTAGTGTTGATAATGGAAGCAATTCAGGTAGTATGTCGACGGGGAATGGTGCGCAGACGATGGAACAGAGTCCGGTAGTGTTGCCGCGGTCGCGGTTGCAATATGGTGAATCGTCTTTGGAAGCAGGTATTGTTAGTGCAAATCTGTCTCATTTATGTTGTTCGAATATTCTTTTCTTGTAATGGATTATGATGGTAGTGTGGTGATGATTGACGATATGTTGTGTGATCATGGCATGGGTATGTGTTTGCCTAATTGTGAAAGAAAATCTTGGAGATACATTTAGGATTGAATTGGTATGAGGTGTAAATATTTTTTTTAGGTAGTCGAGTCATTTAAAATATTTGACTCTAATTAAAATGTCTTAACCGATAGGTATCAAAATTTAACTCATACTACATTTTTTAAATAAAGTGATTGCTTTCAATTGGTTTATTTAATCGGTCAAGTCCGTCTTGATCTTAGTTTGGTAAGTGTTGAATAAAGTTTTGGTTGGGTGTCATTAATAACCTGTTTTGAAGATTATATATTTTTGAAGAATGACATGTTAACTTGTTTTTTAATGGGATTTATAAGGAATAGAATGGGTATTATTCCGATTTCTAGTGAGGTGGGTACAATATCTATTGGATTGAGAAATGTGATTTCTTGGTTTGAATTATAAGTTCAAATGTGGAAAGAGTCACAACTCAATATTTGAGAGGGGACGTAACAAGAGTGCATGACAACAATGGTCGTTGGAGTGTGCATGCATCAAAGAAAATGATTAATAGTCTCTTTGTTTTGAATCCAATTCAAATAGGTCCTAGTAGATAGAAATCCTAGATGTTCCCCAAATGATGTGCAAACTCATGCTTATTTTACTTTCACCTTTCTTGGCTCTGAATTGTAATTTAAATTGTCTATTATCAGAGATGTAGGTATTATGGAATTGTTATTTATTAATTCCGTGAAATTGTGTTAACAGTTAGAATTAGAATTGTAATTGGGAGGTCCTGTTCTAATTCTGAGGATCAAATTCAAGTTTGATTCTATCAGGCAAACTGGACCATATAGATGCCAGTGAGCATAAGAGGTGCTTTTGAGGGAAAATCCGTCCTTTGGAGAATAGTCTTCCTCACCAATAAAATATATTAACGGAAATTCTCTTGTAGGTGCGTGGAATTTGACTTGAATTGTAACGCAGTAATACAATCTCCGTCCTTTATTATAAGCCCCTTTTGTTGTTTTCACATATATTAAGAAAAATAGATAATGTGTTTAATGTGTTCATTTTGTATATGAATATACCTAAAGTGCTCTTGCGTACGGTGCATTCACCTTTCAATTTTCCATCTCCCACAAAATTGACCGATTATAATTATTAACCCTAAAAAAGCTGCGCAGCTCAATTAGAAAAGTTCTACTTTCCTTTTATTGCAAAATATATATTTGATCACGGATCCCTAATCGCAGCCCCAAACACCCAAATGGTCAGCCGACCCATCTTCCACATGCTCGAACGGCGAACCATATTCCTCGCTGATGAAAGCATATGTTCCTATTTTGCTCTTACCCTGATCACTAGGATTTTGTGCGCCCTCACATCTCCCTTTCAACTTCTTTGACGTGCTGTTCCTTCCGTGCTTTAACGACTACACTTGATTACTAGAATCCCAATGAAGCCTCCTTGGCAAAGGGGAAGTATGCAGTGTTGTCGATGATGGATGGCGGAGAGACAAAATCCCACCATACCGGACCCTTTGCGGCACCATTATTGCGGAAAAATCCGCAATAGCGGATGATATTTACCATTGCAGCAAGCCCAAAAACCGCCATGTATATCGGCCATAGCGGCTATGGCGCCGCAATTTGATAACACTGGAAGTATGACAACAAAGATGGTAGGGATGGATTTGACTATGGATAGGGTACAACTTTTTGCTAATGCTAACATGTTTGTTGATAGGGTTCCTGGGGGTAAGTTTCCTACAAGTTCCAGTGGCTCCTAAAAGTGAGATATGATTGGCCTGGTTGAGTTGAGGCCTTCCAAGCACTCAAAGGCGATGTGGTTGGTAGTTCTTATCATGCTGACCCAAAAATTCACTTAAAATGGTTTCTTGGTAGAGTGGGGATGGATTTCTGGGGTTGAGGGTGAGACAAAAGATGTCACATCACCCCAAAAAATGTCCCACACCATTAAAACATGTGACATCACCAAGTGCCAAATGAAGCTCTGTTAGCCACGCATGCATTTTGTAAGAGATTGATTTTAGGGACAAAATATGATGGTTCTGATTTTACAGTGAGGGAGGGAGTCCAAAAAAGGTTAAGGAACCAAAAACCAGAAAACCCCGTATTTGCGTAGAACTATATTTGCAGAGACCTAAAGTGTATTTTAACCTAAATTTTTTCTTTTGAATAATCATATTTAGAAGGGTACCATAATACTACTAATTCATTGAATCATTCAAGGAACTAAATGGTCCTTTTTGTGAAGTTGTTGGCTTAATACACACTAACTGAAAACCCTACGTTTGGCTGCAATAACTGGAAACCATGGAATTCAAAATTTTGGAACTGCTATCTGAACGCATGAGACCATACTTTTGCCCTGAAAACTAGACCGGGTTTGACTTGATCAAGTGACCAGGCCACTAATTTGACCACCAGTCAGGCTATCTGGTCAGCTGTAAAATCATAATTTGCCGCCAGTTTTTCGGATTTAATAAAAACCTGTTGGGTTTACAAGTTTTCAAATAATTTGAAATGGCTGGTTTCCTGGCTTTTAATTGGTTCCCTCATGTTTGACTGAAAAGTAGTTTGAACTAGGCATCGCACCCCATAAAAAGAGATACTCCAAGTACAAACACAACAAGGAGGCTAGGATTTTGCTTTCAAAATGATTTCTTTATAGCTGTTTCATCACCTATATTAAATAGGACGAAACTTATATATTTATAGATAGGTAACAATAGTAGTTGAAGGAAAATCCCACAGAGCTATATAGCCTTCACAAATAAACAACTCAAAAAAGGTCAACTTGGTACCCTAAATCTTCAAGGGTTCAGAGAAGAAATACACTGCTAAATGTTACTTAAATATGCGTTTTTTGGAAGTTATAAAATATTTTGTTACTGAAATTTACTTTGACTAAATATGGTAATTAATCCCAATATCAACATTAAACCATCTTTAAATGTTTGACTTCTGGATTTACTGCTGCCTGCATCGTACTGGTCACATCTATCACCGAGAAAGGGGAGCCAATACATCACTTTCTAGTTTTCTGCATCTATATTTTACAAGCTCATCTTTTTATTTTTTATTTTTTTGTTTTGGAGTTGACAGAATGTTTGTATTGGTGAAGTGAAGTAATTTTAACTGTAAAGTTTCCTCAGTCAGCCTATTTATGATGTGTTAATGCTTGGGGTATGTTTGAGTGGTAGGTTTTGGGTTGGTGCATTATTTGTCCAGTTTTATGTACTTCCAATTTGTATCAACGTGTGAACTGTTTCCGTTTTAAAGTGTCTTCCAAAATTATACTATTTTAATACCAGAATGTTACTTTTTCTTATCACATTACTTTAAACAGGAGAGCAGGCATCGTCACAGACTCAGACTGGAGGCTTAAGAAGTGAAGATGTTTGCACGCCAGAGGTACTGCTGGGTGTGGTGTTTGTGATATATTCTGTTTTTTGCTTTGATGAAATTTGTATGCATTAGTTGTTGTATTCAACTTAATTTGTTTATTATTGCAAAATAACTTATTGTTTCATCCAGGCCACATATGATTTTGAGAATCCGAAAGAATCTGAATCTCCTCGTTTTCAAGCTATATTACGTGTCACAAGTGCCCCTGGAAAGAGGTTTCCTGGTGATATAAAGAGTTTTTCGCACGAGTTAAATTCTAAAGGTGTCCGGCCTTTTCCGTTTTGGAAGCCTCGAAGGTTAAATAATAACCTTGAGGTACTTTACTTTCCATTTTACATTTTATTGTGGCGTTAATAGTTTGTGTTGCGTAGGAAGCATTTCTTGAAAATTGCTTTACTTGTTTTATATGCAGGAGATCTTGGTTGTTATTAGGGCTAAATTTGATAAAGAAAAGGAAGAGGTGAACTCTGAGCTGGCTATTTTTGCAGCAGACCTGGTTGGAGTTCTTGAAAAAAATGCAGATAATCATCCTGAATGGCAAGAGACAATTGAGGACTTGCTAATTTTGGCCAGGCGCTGTGCCATGACCACATCTGGGGAGTTTTGGCTTCAGTGTGAAAGCATAGTTCAGGACTTGGATGATAGGCGTCAAGAGCTTCCTCCAGGGACACTAAAGCAGCTTCATACTCGAATGCTCTTCATTCTTACACGGTGTACTAGGTTGTTGCAATTCCACAAGGAAAGTGCTTTGGCTGAGGATGAACACTTTGTCAATCTCCGTCAATCTAGAGTCTTACATTCTACTGGAAAATCTATTCCTTCTAGTGTGGTAAGGGATTCTAAAAGTTCTGGTGTTGCAAAGACCTCAAAGGCTTCAACAAAAAAAGCTTATAGCCAAGAGCAGAGTACCATGGGTTGGAAAAAAGGTGTCTTGAAACCAGAGATTCAGTTGCCTCCTGCTGATGATGACATTTTAAAAAATTTTGAGTCTCCTGGCAGGAATCGGATGGCTTCATGGAAAAAATTCCCATCTCCGTCAGGAAAAAGCCCAAAAGAAACTGTTCAATTGAAGGACCAAAATTATGGGACAGTTGAACCTTCAAAGACATCAGATAAGAGATTAAATTCTGATATAGATCTCTCTGGCGCCAAGACTTCTGAGCTTCTTGCTGTCAAAGATTCCCATGACCATGCTTCCAAGCACCAACATAAAGTTTCCTGGGGCTATTGGGGAGACCAGCAGATTAATAATGAAGATAATTCAATAATTTGTCGAATATGTGAAGAGGATGTACCGACTTTACATGTTGAAGATCATTCAAGGATTTGTGCAGTTGCTGACAGATGTGATCAGAAGGGTCTGAGTGTCAATGAGCGTCTTGTAAGAATTTCTGAAACATTAGAAAAGATGATGGAATCATCTACTCAGAAGGATTCACAACAAATGGTCGGAAGTCCTGATGTTGCAAAAGTATCGAATTCAAGTATGACTGAAGAATCTGAAGTTCTTTCCCCTAAACTTAGTGATTGGTCACGCAGAGGCTCAGAGGATATGCTAGACTGTTTCCCTGAACCTGATAATTCCGTTTTTATGGATGAGCTAAAGGGATTGCCACTTATATCATGTAGAACTCGTTTTGGTCCAAAGTCTGACCAAGGTATGACAACATCATCTGCAGGGAGCATGACTCCTAGGTCTCCTTTACTGACACCAAGGACAAGTCAGATTGACTTGCTCTTGGCAGGGAAGGGTGCTTATTCAGAACATGATGATCTGCCCCAGGCATGCTCTTATTTTAACCTCTTTTATAAATTACTATTATTTCTGACTTCTTGTCATATCCTATTACTCCTTACTCCATTCTTTTTAAGTGTCGTTTTGGAAAAATTCTTTTGTTCTTATTTAACTGTCGTTTTGATAGTTTAAGGTTATCATTTGTCAGTTATACCCTTATCCTCAATAACTCCTACTTAAAGTGAGGGTAGAATGGGAAAAAATTCCAACAACTCACTACCTTGGTTGGAGAGCTTTATGCTTAAACCACACTTAAAAAGGAACGGGAGAAGTACTAATTATTCATGGCATTATCCATTAAATTCAGCATTTATCATATGATCTTCCCTATATTATCCATTAAAATCAGCATTTTTTATCATATGGTCTTCCCTGTGTGTTCAGCATTTTGTATGATATTGATTCGCGATCAGGTTAACTGTCCCTAAACACCCCAATTATATTCTTTGGATTATTGTAGATGAATGAACTTGCTGATATAGCACGATGTGCAGCCAATGTTAGTCTGGATGATGATCGTACAGCATCGTATTTATTATCATGTCTTGATGATTTGAGGGTTGTCGTAGAACGAAGGAAGTTTGATGCACTTACCGTGGAAACCTTTGGAACACGCATTGAGAAGCTGATTCGGTTAGTACCTTTCTGTTAAATTATGTAATGCATCTGTATATTATAAAAAATGTCATCTTAGTAAATGTGAAATTCAGCTAGCGAATTCTTTATGAATAAGTTGTGTAAATTCTAGTTAAAGATACCTTTATGCAGATTAATCCTGTTTTTATAACCGTTTCAAATCATATACCATAATGATACTGCATTTTTTTATTTACTATCTGTCCAGTGTCTCCTCTGGCAATACTAGTCAGACTTTCGTTATGCTCACCTGAAATATTTTCTATGATGGTCTGTACTTGTGTGATAGGCAACAATCCCCAATCAAATGGGTCTATGTTAGGAGAAATAAGAGAGTCTCAAAGGTTCGCAACCTTTAAGTGGCTGAGTAATAGTGACAGCTAACTGAGGTATAGTTATAAGCAGAGTGAGGGCCGAGTAAGGGTAAGTCTTGTCATTCTTGGTATGGAAAAGTCTTGTCATATCTTTGGAATTGTACCATTCTCGTAATGGGAAAGTCTTGTCATATCCTCTCGAAAAAGCCCGTGTCTTGTCACGTCCTCTTGAAAAAACCTGGATCTTCTTTCAATTCTTCAATGAAAGCAGTTCAGTTTTTTCATTATTTTCATTTTTCCAAACTTTTTTCCATCTAATTGGTATTGGAGCTGGTTGTCAGTGTCTCTGCAAGTGTCCTTTTACAAAGGGGCTGAACGGAAAAAGGCCAAGTGATGCGTTGTATTGTGCAGCCATCAGGATTTCGGCTTTGAAGTAATGTAGATTGAAGACACATATTGTCTGTGTAAAGAAACTAAAAGAATATCTGCGTGATACTGACATGTGATTAAAAATCTAAAACTTATATAAAGTTAATAAACATTACTCCAACATGTTCTAGTATATATCAAACTTTACAAAGTTCAATGCAAAAGCAACTCAGAAAAAGAAAATGCTACAAATATTAAAACATAACATAATCAATGCCCTATTGTCTTAAAGAACTCAAACTGGTCTCTGAATGCATGTTGCGGAACGTTGGTGACTTGACTCAATTATGAAGTATGGTGAATAAGGAAACATAAAAACAGGAGCGTATTCTGCTTCTGATTTAACCTTGGAGTATAATAATTATAAAAAACATTAAAAAAAATTAAATAAAAAGTACCTGTTTTGGTGAAGAAAAATAGAGCATCAACTATAGGCGTGGACTTCTGTTTAGGATTTACCAATCTAATAAAGTGAGAAAATAGGAATTCGGTTGCAATCAAAAGAAGGAAAACGCATTTTTTTTCTTTCTTATTTTTTGTTAGGCAAATATTAGCTGTTAATTTGTAGGGGAGAGGGAATTTGTTAATTGCAGGGATCAAACCCTAGATCTCCTTCTTAATACTCCTTTAGTGTATCAACACATACCACAAAGCAAAGAATATAAAAGGAATTGCATGGATTGAAGTGGAAGTGGAAGATATCATAGATGGAGGCTGTTGGAAACTCACTGTATATGTAGAGGGGCAACCAATTTACGACATAGATCGAAAATGCTGCCTTTGTAACTTGTGTTTTCTGACATGCAACTGCAATAATATCCATCACTAATATTGCTGCATGTTGCGTCTCCATTTGGGAGATAAGGGCTGACAGATGTTTTCAGATGTTGCTTTTCTGTATTATTTAGGGGGGTGATGATGTTTTCTTTGTCTCTTATAATTTATTTTCTAATGATTAGATCAGCATAGTTATATAAGTATGTCAGTTCCTCTTGTAAACAACATAGTTATATACTCTTTTACTTATAAGAAAATATTAGTTATGGATTAGATGTCTTGCACATGTTATGCATGTGGAAATTTAAACTTCGTATGCTGAGTGTGCCTTTTGGGCTTGCTCGCTTCCCAAGTCAATACATGGCTCTGCTCGTGATTATATCTGAAGTCAATACATTTGGGGGAAACACTATTCCTTGGCTCCCCACTCGTCCTACCATTTCCATTATTCAACACGAACTATACAAGGTGTTCTTAGCAATTTACTGATGATTATTCTTAATAAGTTGTAATTTATTTTTCAGTGAGAAGTATTTGCAGCTTACTGAGATGGTGGATGTCGAAAAGATAGATGTAGATAGCCCTGTAATGGATGATGATGTCATCTTGGAAGATGACGTGGTTCGCAGCTTGAGAACAAGCCCAATTCATTCTTCAAAAGATCGTACCTCTATTGATGACTTTGAGATTATAAAACCTATCAGTCGTGGGGCATTTGGAAGGGTTTTCTTGGCTAAGAAGAGGACGACTGGTGATCTTTTTGCAATAAAGGTAATATGTTTTTGACTCACTAGTTACTGTTTAAGCACCATCTTCCGATTATTGTTTTGACTGTCATGTCATTAATTGTTTTTTCTCTTACATAAATATGAACACCCATTTGTGCGTACATTTTATTCCCAAGATGTCTCCTCTTGCTTCATTCATGTAGCTTTTAGAACATTTGTTCAACAATATGATGTTATTTTGCTGAATGTGTGTTTTTTCTTTAAAGTGTATACTATACATGTCACTGAATATTGTATCTTTCATAAAATACTGCAGGAAGTGTCTGACCATGCATTTTTTTTTCATTATTTTGCCAATTTTGCTAATCTGCAGTGCTTTTCTTGTATTGTATTGTTTATTACTTCATTATATTTATGTTTTTTAATTATACTTTTGCTTCCAATGTAATTTTAATGCAATACCTTTTTTGGCAGCTGGGAACCTTTAACTTGTGTTGTAAATTTGATTATATTTCTTGTTCTATGCTTCCAATCCATAGTTTATTACCATATTTAACTGTTTTGTGACAGGTTCTTAAGAAAGCTGATATGATCCGTAAGAATGCTGTAGAAAGTATATTAGCAGAACGTGATATCTTAATTACAGTGCGCAATCCTTTTGTGGTTAGTGGACCTAATTTTGTTACTTTATTTTGTGTTGCTTTAAGAAATGATACCCTTATTCTAACATTTGTTTAAATTTTATCAGGTTCGATTTTTCTATTCTTTCACATGTCGTGAGAACTTGTATCTTGTCATGGAATATCTGAATGGTGGAGACTTGTATTCATTACTAAGGAATTTAGGATGTCTAGACGAGGAAGTGGCTCGTGTATATATGGCTGAAGTGGTAACTATTGGTGTTCTCTCCTCCTGTAGGTAGATATGGAAAATGATCTTTTATTACTTTGTATTGTAATTCAAACTTTTCATCCAACTGTAGGTTCTTGCATTAGAGTATTTGCATTCACTGAGTGTGGTTCATCGTGACTTGAAGCCGGACAATTTATTGATTGCACATGACGGTCATGTCAAGGTAACTTTTGATTGGTGTACTTTAACATTGTCCTTTTGAGTTTTGATTTTCTTGTGTCCTGTGGCTCCCATGAGCATAGTTTATACCTTTTTACATTATGCATGCTCAGCTAGTCAGCTCAATTATTTTTTCTTTTATCTACTTTTGCAGTTGACAGACTTTGGGCTTTCAAAAGTTGGTCTCATCAACAGCACAGACGACTTGTCTGGTCCGGCAGTGAGTGGGACATCCCTACTTGAGGAGGATGAGTCTGAAACATTTACATCGGAGGATCAAAGGGAACGGAGGAAGAAGCGTTCTGCTGTTGGCACACCGGATTACTTAGCTCCTGAGATACTTTTAGGAACTGGACATGGTTCGTATAGTCCCATATTTTTATGTTTAAGGTGGTTCGTTTTCTGTTTTCTTTTCCATCTCTTAAAATGCGGATTAAATTTGTCTTTGTTATGGAAATTTTTAAGAAAAATTATTCTGCTGTTTAAATAAACTCTAAATGATGCTAAAAATTATGGAAAAGTTGTTAGAGTGCAAAAAAATAAACGAATCTTTTTGTTAGTATAGTAACTTGCTGATTTAGTGGTTTTACTTGCATTGTATACTTGTAAACGTTCTCATGTATTATTGTGTATTTTATTACAAATATACCACCAACAAAATATTTGTTCAAATTTTGCAGGGTATACTGCGGATTGGTGGTCTGTTGGTGTCATTTTATTTGAGTTGCTTGTTGGTATTCCACCCTTCAATGCTGAGCATCCTCAGGTTCATACCTTGTTTCTTTGTGTGATGAATATTTATATTTTTTTGTTGTCTTGATAGTTTATTTAATTCTCACTTCATGTTATGTAATTTTGTGTTTGTAGACTATATTTGATAATATTCTTAATCGTAAGATACCTTGGCCTGAAGTTCCTGAAGAAATGAGTCTTGAAGCACATGATCTTATTGATCGGTAATGGGCATGCTATATTTATATGTACATCACATTTCTTGTCATATCTGTCTGGAAATTATTTGTTTTAAACTACATATTTTGTAACATTGATTCCTTGTATTTGTTTAATTATTTGAGTGTTTTTGCTGCTTGTTAGTGCAAATATGGCCTTTGCTTACATACTGTTATATTCGGATGTCTTTTGACATTCTAACTTGTAACTATTAACCAGCAAGTAAACTTAATTAGACATTCAATTTTCAGATTGTTGACAGAAGATCCTAATCAAAGACTAGGAGCTAGAGGGGCATCAGAGGTGATCTTATATCTTATAATCAGACGTGTGTTTTCCCTGATATTTTATCATTTCTGAAATGACAAACTGATAGGATTTTAATAATCCAGGTGAAGCAGCATGTTTTCTTCAAGGACATTAACTGGGACACGCTTGCCAGGCAAAAGGTATGCCAAGTGCCTGGTTGGATAGAATATCCCAACTGCTGGTGTCTAGTAAATTATGTTTCAACTGTACTCTCTGTTTGTTTGCATTTGGGAGATTAAAAAATCATTTCTGCTGTGAGTAGAATTGATTTTGAGAAAAGTGAAACTTAGATTTTTAGCTTTCCAAAGGCAAAGCTTCTAAACCCACTCTGGAAATATCATTACAACAATTCTTTCTGAATATATTCTACCGAAATCCAAACAAAGCAACCCATGATAATTCATTTGAGACATGTTTATTGTTAATTGCACTGTCAATCATTTGGTTTTGCAGGCTGCATTTGTTCCTGCTTCTGAGAGTGCTCTGGACACCAGTTACTTCACTAGTCGCTACTCATGGAATACTTCTGACGGTCTTGTTTACCCACCAAGTGATTTTGAAGATTCAAGTGATGCCGATAGCTTAAGTGGCAGCAGCAGTTGCCTGAGCAATCGTCATGATGAAGTGGTACTGCATTTATTGACAATGCTAAATGTAAAATATAAACTGTAAAATATCAATTTTAAGTATTTTGGGCTGACTTTCTTTTGCAAACATATCTATCTACAAGCAGGGAGATGAATGTGGGGGTCTTGCCGAGTTTGATTCTAGTTCTTCCGCCAATTACTCTTTTAGTAATTTCTCTTTTAAGGTAATTCTCTCAAATTATATTCTATATTTCTGATATCAAAATTAGAATAACTTCCATGAATGTTGCGTGGTCTATGGTTCTTTTTTTCTTATCACTTCAACTTTATTTAATATGGGATGAATAGGAAGATGAATGGCTTCTCCCCTAGCCTCCTTACATTTTTGGACCTATACATGTTTATTGTTGAATTTGTGATTATGTGTAAAAAATGAGAGACAAATATTATTGGTAATGACTATTGACTTGATATAAAAGATTTATTGCTAATAACTAAGAATAAATAATGATGATAATAATAAGAGATACTCTAAATTAATATAAGATGTTTTATAATATTCTAACATTAATATTTAGTCTGATGGTTTTTTTTCTACGTTTTCTATTTGATCGTATGCTATTAAGCTATACTTTACTGATTTTTACCTATATTTTCTGATTGTGATTAATGATTGTGTTTGGTTTTCAGAATCTCTCCCAGCTTGCGTCAATCAATTATGATCTCACCAAGGGATGGAAAGATGATCCCTCAACAAATTCTAGTGCATAGATGCCTCATCTTCTGACAAAGTCTAGAATTTTATTTTCTACCTATGATTCAAGCAATTTGGAGGCATACCAATTGTTGTTTGTATAACATGTACATGTATGATTCTGCAAAAGTGTTCTTTCATAGTGCCTTTTAGATTGTCATCGCATATAAATCGTTCATTTGTTGTTGCTGATCTAATTTGTATTGCTGATTTTTTGCAGATATTTTAGAGTCTAAAGCGGTTCAGGATGTACATTAGGTTACAGAACAATTGTGGGGGGTTTCAATCTGTCGGTTAATTTTGTGTATGAGTTGAGGATTGTATAAATTGTAAAATGCATATAACATTAGCTCCCATTGGTCTGTGGTGTACTTCCTTTAATATGCTAGTAATGTGAATACATCCTATTTTATTCAGGCTACTGTAGTACTACTATATTACTAACTTAATAGAAAATTGAAGTGTGAAGTTTGTGCTCCCTTCGAGCATTTTGGGGATCTACATTAAAAAAACCAATTTAGCCATTTACAAGCTAAAGTCATTAAATTGCTGGCATGGTTTCTATTAATTTAGTCAATTCAACATTTCTCGACTTTTATTGATGACTTTTGGATGAATAACATTAACAGTGTGGATTTTAACATGAACAACTATTAAACTCGATACACTACTCTTATCACCATTAGATCAAGTAAGACTGCATATTCTAGTAGTCTCTCTAGACCAACATCTTTTTTCAGTGTTCAACATTTGGAACAGACTGTTTATGAGCTGATGTTTACTATTGAACTAGAAAATACTGATATTAATTTAGATCATTGGATCTAAATCGAACAGCTTAGGATCCATGATAGTGGGACTGCTGACTGCAGCAAATCATGGTCGCATATTTATTCAACCACAACTGCCTTTATTCTACCAAATCCGGAACCTAAAACTATTTAACATTAACTAGTTTTTAGGATAGTGCCAAAAATAATCCAGAGTGTCAAGTTGTCATGAAGGAAATGACAACGGTCCAATGTGATTATGACTGTGCTATTACACAAGTTTCACAAATATTCAAAGACAAGTAATTGGATAGAATAAGACAACAATGACCAAAGAGGCAAAAGCATCCCATGTAGCAAAATGGTTGAATGCCAATCTTTGTTTCTCTTTATTACTCATTTCATTATCATTCATTTTCAACCTAATTTGAATAGCTCCTCAAAACATTAACAGTACTGAAATATCAAAGAGTGGGTTTAGATCACTCATATCAACAACAAAATGACTATGCAACACAATGAGGAAACAGTAGGACCACTATCTCAGAATGCTAACTTTAATTTGCAGTGCATCCCATTTAGGTCCCACCATAAAGTTACAAATTTGATAGTTCGGTTTGTATTTACTTGAGAGAAATGATTTGGTTTGATATTTGAATTTCAAAATCTACATTAAGGATAAGATAGCATGAATCCACATTACAAACAACACTATTAGCATGTTTCTTATCATTATGGATCTAACAAAATTACATTTTAAGCATTGCTTAGTAGACTTTTACATAATTTAAAGACTAAATTAGAGATAGTGATAGTTTGTGGACCAAATTGAAAATTTTTTTTTTTTAAAAAATCATTTGATTCTCATGCTACAAAGTTTATTCCTTTCTTTTTCAGTATCATTTCTGGTTATCTCAATACTCCAACTATAAAGCTACACAAATCATATCAAACTTTTTGCACATGTGACAAGACAACTATTTGGCTTTAACACTTTATACATAACATATCATATATCAACTTTTTGAAAATTTATATAAATTGGCGCCAACTAAGTTTGTGATAAAAGTATCCTTTTCAAGAAAATGTAGGTTCTTAAAGGTAAAACTGATTTATAGGTTTTTATAAATTGATTTTTCAGACTAATTTTTTTTTTATAAAATTTGTTTGATTTATAAATATCAACTTGTTTTATTTATATTAATGTATAAATATAAATAAATAATGTCACCAGATATCAAATCCTAAATCAACATTTTACATTCATTTAATTCAATAAGCTAAGTTAGTCCGGTCACTCGTTTGAAGATAAGAACATGACCACAGGCCAAGTCAAGAAAAAGTTAATCAAAGTTGGTTGAACATATAAATCATCCATCTCTACCAATTTGAGGGGTTCACAAGACTCAACAACTAAAGATTGTGATCCATGCCAACTTTGTAACAGTAATACCAAACATGACAGCAACTACATAATCTCACTTTTAACAGAATTAAAGATTTCACCAAAAGCAAAAGTGAATGCTAAAGCAAGAATAATAATGACTTCAACAAGAATCTACAGCCAAATAACTCTAATGAAACAAATTTGCATTATACACTCCTCTAAGATAGTAGTAGTACAGTGGAAATTGTAGAGGAAAAGAAGAAAATACATCAAAGTGTGAGGGTGGGTGCTAATGAAAATTGAGGCCAAAGCTAAAAAATTAAATTAAATTACACTCTAGGTCCCTAAACTATTTTAAATTCCACTTCGAGACCTATAGAATAATTAAAACCTAAATAAAGTAACAACATAAGCACACATGATTTAGGGAAAAAAAGATATGGGGACTTCTGAGATACTCATCTAGCAGAGATATCATCTATGTCATTGATCAAATCAGGGTGTTGAATTTGGTCTTGAGTGACCTCTTTCAAGCTAGACTTATGCAACTCCTCTAGGTGCTGTCGTACTTGCGACATCGAAGGGCGGTTATCGGGGTACGTTGCTGCACAATCCACTGCGAGTTGCAACAGCTGAACCATTTCCTCTTCGACATTTTGATACCTTAGGAGTTCAAGATCAAAGACCTCGGAAGTCCATTCTTCTTTAGCGACTGATTGCACCCATCTCGGAAGATCCACTCCTTCGTCGTTCATGAGGGCGTGAGTTGGAGCTTTTCCGGTAAGAAGTTCCAAGAGTAGTACACCGAAGCTGTATACATCGGCTTTCTGAGATACTTTTCGAGGATCGGTTACCTCAGGAGCACGGTAGCCGGCTACCCTGTTGGGGGTGGATGAAGGACCAACAAGATGTGCGAGACCGAAATCAGATACTCTTGCATCATAGGACTTGGTTAGAAGGATGTTAGATGATTTTATGTTTCCATGTGAAACATTAGGCCCTTGCGAATGTAGGTACTCGATACCGCGAGCCGCTCCAAGTGCAATGCCTGATCTCATGTCCCAAGTCAGAGGTGTCCTACCTCCTCCTTTGTTTCCTGTATTCAAAATATAAAAGACTTATAAGACTGTTGCATTATCGTGACTTTAACAAATGGTTTGTCTGTACTGATTTATTTGAGCTTATTTATTATCAGTTTTCAGCTTATTTCTTCAAGGTTCACAAAAAAACAACATATAGCCTATCCGAATGCCAATTGCGGTATCAAAACGAGTAAAGAAAGCTAAAGCCATAACAAAGAAACTCAAAAAAGATAGAAAGTTAGAAAAAGGAAGCAAAGTAAAGCAAACACTCACCATGCAAAAGTGCAGATAAGCTTCCCATATGCAAATAATCATGAACAAGAAGCTTCTCATCTCTACTATAATAGTAAGCCCTAAGAGGTGCTAAATTTTCATGAACCATCGTTCCGACTCTCTCGATCTTCTCCTTAAATTCCTTCTCAGATATGGTCACATCCCTTAATCTCTTCACAGCCACAACCACAGGACCAACCTCCAAAACAGCCTTATAAGATGTCCCAAAAGTCCCTTTCCCTAATACCTCAGCAGAAGCTCTTAACAAATCCTCCAAACCAAACACTTTACCCCAATTCCTAAAAAACACCAATTTTTTCTCACCACCACCAACAACAACACCTTCACTCGCCGCGGCCGGCGGCACCGCCAGAGTTGCGGCCGACATATACCCATTTCCATTTTCAACATTCTCATTATGAATCCCCTCATCATGTTGATTATGCTTCAAAGTTGCAGCAACTTCATCAATTGAACTAGTTTTTTCACCATTTCTATTCCTGCATATAAGAATCAAAGCAAAAACTACAAGCAAAAGAACCACAACTGATCCAATAACGATTCCAGCTATAGCACCACCGGATAATTTGCTTTTCTTCTTGTTTTTCACAAGCCCTTGATTATCATCAACCACACTTGAATTTCTATTTCCACCCCCATTTCCACTGCTTGCACTTCCTTCATTAGGACAAGGGTTAAGGGGTTTTCCACATAAGAGATTATTACCCAAAAACGAATCTTTACCAAAAGTTTGTAACTTTTCAGGAACTGAACCGTTTAGCTTGTTGTTTGAGACATTGAACTGAGCGAGTTCAACCCGGTTCAACTCGGTAAGAGAACCGGTGAACCGGTTGTTTTGAAGATACAACGTTTTCAACCGGGTTAGGTTTTGGAACCCAACCGGGATATTGCCGGAGAAGTTATTGGAAGCTAAATTCAGACGGACTAGACCGGTGAGTTGGAGAAGTGTCGCCGGGATTTCGCCGGAGAGAAGATTCTGCTGGAGGTAGAGGTTACGGAGGGAGGTGCAAGCGGAGAGGTCGGAGGGGAGAGGACCGGAGAGGGAATTGAAACGGAGGCTGAGTGTGTGGAGGTTAGTGAGGTCGGAGAATACGCCGGCGGGGAGTTTGCCGGAGAGTGAGACAGCAGGGAGGTGAAGCTCGATAACGTGAGTGTGGTTTTGGTCACATTTGACGCCGGACCAGTTACATGGAGTTGCAGAGGTTGTGTTCCAGAGAAAGGTTCTGCCACCTACGGCGGCGCGTAGGCTTAAGAGGGCGGCGCGTTCGGAAGTTAAGTCAGGTTTTACGAAAGGAAGAAGAAGAAGAATAAAAAGAGAAAAGAAAAAGAGTTTCAGTTTATGAAACTTCATTTGCATTTGAATTTGGAGAAATTGTTGTAATGTGCTTCTGTGTTTGGTTATTTTGAAGAACACTTACATAAACCTTTTTTTTGGTTGTTTTGGTTTTTTGTGTGTGTTGTGTTGTGTATTGGTTTTTGGGAGA